GGTTATCAGTTTCATAATATCCAATCTCATCTCATCAAAACAAAAACAGTTTTTGATGTCATGGCCAATAAATGCCAGATCAGAGACTTAACAATGGCTTATTCTTTCTTCACTTTCTCTGATTCTTCAGGAAAGCTTTTTTGACCATATTTTCCTAAGATATTTCAAAGTTCTTCTTTTAATGGAATAAGCAAGGCATTAGAATTAAATCACCATTTCAGATCACAATTATGAGAAAAAGGTAAATGGTAAGAAAGGATTTTTTTTCACTATATAGCTGATCTATTTATGCCCATTCTTATTTGTGATTTCTCTCTCAAAGTTTCTGATTGTTATTTATTGACTAAAACCTTGGCTCATTTTATTAGTTTCTGAATATTATGCATAGATTCATTCAGTAAATATATTTTTTCTTTTTTTTTTTTTCGGCTTATTAGGGGGTTCCAATTTTTAGGTTTCCTTCCTTTGCCCTTGCCTCCCCTCCCCCCTCGAGTCAGAGCTTTGTGTCAGGCATTGTCCCGGGCTTTGGGGCTCAATAATGAATAAATCCTACAAAATCCCTGTGTTCATGGAATTTACCTTCTAACTGAAGGAGATGGACTATGAATAATTAAGTAAGTAAATTTATACAGTATATGGAAAGTAGTGTTATGGATAAAAATAAAGCAGAGGAAAAGGAAAGGAATTGTGGGGTATGAATCTAAAGGAGATCAGAAAAGATTTTACTAAGAAGGTGAGATTTGAAGGAAGACATGGATGCGATGGATGAGCCATTCATATACCTGGGGTATGAGTAATGGAGGTGTAGGTTGGTTTCTATTGAAGTTTCTTTTCCTAGCTTGCAGATGGCCACCTTCTTACTGTGTTCTCCCCATGCAGGACAGAGAGTGAGCCCTCTGACATCCTTCTTATAAAGTCACTAATAATATCATGAAGGCTCCACCCTCAAGACCTCAACTAAAAGCACTTTCCAAAATCCCCATCTTCAAGTACTACCTACTATGGTCTCAATTTTTATGGCCCCCCAGAATCTATATGTTGAAATCCTAATGCCTAAACTGATGGTGTTAGGAGGTAGGACCTTTGGCCAGTGATGAGGTCATGAGAGTGGAGCCCTCACGAATGAGATTAGTGCCCCCATAAATGAAGCACAAGAGAGATGCCTCACCTTTTACACAATGTGAGGACACAGTGAGAAAGTGCTGTCTAGGAACCAAAAACTGAGCCTTCATCAATAGAATTGCTGATGATGTGTATATGGAGTACAGGGAAAGTGAGAAGTGAGGAATGATTCTAAGGCCTGATGCATTGGCAGGAATCAAATGTCTATTAATAGAGGTGGAGAGACTGGAGTGGAAAAGGTTTGGGGAAGATACAACCAGCAGTTCACTTTTAGACATGGTCAAACTTGAAGTGCCCATTAACTATCCAAATACAAATGTTGAGTAAACAGTTGGAAATACAAGCCAGAATCCTGGATAGAGACATACATTTGGGAGATGTCAATCTTTAAAGCCTCATATTCAGGTGAAAACTAAGAAAGTTAGGGTTTATTAAGGAAATAAGAAGTTAAAGGGCTGACACCTGGGGGACTATAACATTATTTAATAAGAGTTTGAGGATATGAGACAAAATCTGCAAAGGAATTTAAGAAGCAAGAGAGGAGAAAAATGAAGAGTATGCAAACTTGTAAGCTAAATGGAGGAAAGTGTTTTATGGAGAAAGAAGTGACATGAAAACTGAAAACAATCCAAATATTCATCAACTGAGAAATGGATTCACAAAATGCAGTGTGTCTTGCAACAAAATCCTATTCATCAATATAAAGTAACAAACTATTGATAAATGCTACAACCTGTATGAATCTCAGATTCTGCTGAGTAAAAGAAGCCAAACACACACACACACACACACACACACATACAAACACACACAAATTGAACATTGTATGATTCCATCCATTAAAATGAACTTTCTAGAAAAGGCAAAATTACAAAGACATAAATCAGAGCAGTAATTGCCTGTGGGCATGGGTAGGAGAGGGGTTGAATGATTTTTTGGAATGATATAAGTGTCCTATGACTCGGTTTTGGTGATGGAGATACAATTGTATCAATTTACTAAAACTCATTGAATTGCACACTTAAAGTGGATGAAATTTATGGGATACAAATTGCACTTGAAAAAATCTGTTAAAAAGAGAGAGAGTAGAGACAGAGTGGGGGGCACACACATACATAGAGAGGGAGACTGAATAGGAGGAATGGAATTGGATAGAGAATATGCACACAAAGCTTTTGAAAAGTTTTGCTATAAAGGGGAGCAGAAAAATGAGGTGGTAGATGCAGAAGGACATGGGTCAGGGAAGTTTTACCATGTTTTGTTTTTAGATTGAGGAAAGAACACATGTTCACATGTAGATTTTATCTGATCCAGAAGAGTAAACAATCTTTGGTAACAACGCAGAGGAAAGAAAAAGAATTGCTAAAATAATTTCTATTTGTAGGTGAAAAGGGATAAATTACACTGCACAAATTAAGGGACTGGCCTTGGAAGTGCAAACAATGCATACACTATACTATGCTCAAGAATGGGAAGTTAGAGTGTCTGGCTACAGATGCTAATGGGTGTGTGACAATGATAAGTGCTGTGGAAGTTATCTTCTGATTGCTTTCCTTTTCACAGTGGGATAGGATGCCAGCTGAGAGTGAGGAGGGGAAGACACATTGAAGATTTAAGGTGAATTTCAAGTTCATAGTTTGGAGTTTAAATTGAGATCAGTTTGCATCACTGGTTTTGTTTTGTGTGTGTGGTTTTATTTTTTGTGGGTTTTTGTTTGTTTTTACAGTCATATTAAATTGAAAAGGTTCAAGTATGCAGTAGACTAAGAGTTAGATTTACGCCAAGAATAGGGCTTTGCCAACTGTCAAGTCAGTGTGAGGAAGCAAAAGAGGGATGAGCAAATTGAAGTTGTATGGAAGAAAATGATGATGGAAGCAGAAAAGTGAGAATCAAAGGAGGGAAAGTAGAGTAAAAAGTGGGTAATATCAATGATTTTTCAATTTCCATGAGAATAAGGAATGGTACTAGAGGAATGAGCAGCAGACAGTACATACTGGTCAGAATATGATGCTTGTAAGTGTGGCAACTGAGAGATTGCACTATTGGTAATAACAGATAAGTGGCCTTGATTGAGTGGCTGAGGTTGTTTGTAAAACAAGATCATTGAGAAGTCATCTTCCTTTAAACATATTGATCCCAATTACAGATCACATTATTATTTATTTAATCAATTATTAATACATATTCTTATCTCATGTTTATCTTATCACATATACAAATCATTATGCTATATGGATGCCAGAAATCTCTGCATAGTTTTCCCTGCCAATGGGACGATTCATCTATGTGTAATCTTATAGTTTTGCTTTAGAAATCTTTCTCTCCCATTTCACTTTTTTGAAGTTCCAACAGCATTTCAATATATATTATATCTCAGAAAAATCATGCTTTTTTTCCACAGGGGTAACTCCATGTTGTTAACTCCTGTCAGTCTGGTGATGGAGTCATTCATCTTCTATAGAGCCTGTCTATTTTTGTACTCCTCTTCCTCATCCTTCTCCCTCTCTTCCTCTTCTTTCTTCTTTCTTCTTTTTGTGATCTCTTAACAATTATTCATCTAATACTACCCTTCAAACTAAATATTTCTAATAACCAACACTAGACATGATCTATATTAATGCTATAGGCTATCCCTAAATCTACTATAAATTTTTGTCTTATCCATGAAAAAAGTTAAAACATATATTGCCTTGAATGAATCTGGATTTAGATGCAGGTAAGACTAGATATTTTTACTATAAACTCCTCAAGCTGCTCACAGAAGGATTAGAGTAACTGAATTGACTTATAGAAATTAAATGGGTGCAACTCATAAACTATTCCTAATTGTGAGTACTGAGTTTCAAATCAAAATGTTTTCAAAAATATTTCCTGTTAAAATGTAGCCTACCTTTCAATTAAAAACAAACTTAGGAGGGTCAGTTAAAGGTAAGAAACTTTAAGAAAATTGATGTAGGTCCTTTTGTTATTTTTGTTAAGAATTATCTACTATAGAACCATATTGGTCTCCATTAGTACACTGACAATACAACCTAGAAACAAATATGACTGCCATATTAAATAAAGAAAGAAAAAAGATTGAGATACTAGGACCTTGAATACTGTTTTCAATTGTTAACTAAGTTCTTATTTGTTTTTCTCTCTCTCTTTCAATCTCCCTATAATTGATGCTGGCCACTCTTAAATCATATTATAAGAAAACTATACTGAGGTACAAAGGGGTACTCATCCCAAATTATAGGTCTTAAAATGAATATAATTAGCTGTGAGTTGGCAAAAGAGCATATAATTAATCTGAGTACAGTTTACTATTCTGTTTTCCCCAAACCCCATGAAGTACTCACCTCTCACCATGACTTTTACAAGCAAGACCTCAAGAAGCCAAAAACATAATCAATAAATTATAGTTTTGTTTGAAACTCAGAAAACATTTCTTAGCAGTTTTTATCCCAGTGTGGCAAAGAACACCATAAACAACCAAGTACCCAGCTTATCTTCTGAAACAAGATGCACATTGGTATTCAGTTAACTCAACTCTGACACTCAAAACAATTTTGAAAGGTTTTCATTCTCTCAGTTTATCGCTTCCCTTGTGCTCCAAGCAATATATTCCTCACCCATGTCAGGTAGGGGCATAACCATGACAGTCAACAGTTAGAATGGCAAGAAAACAATCTTATCATAAGAGTTCAGTGTCCTGTCCAATGGTATTTAGAGTATATGACCCTTAATTACTCATCTAGTATCTGGTACATGTCAAGAAAACCATCCACATTTCACCTGCAATGTTCAGCTATCTAAAAGAATGAACACTGTCTAAAAGAATGAACATATAGTAAAAGAAAGCAGCAGCAATATAGAATGAGATCCTACTATACCTGGTGAATGAGGCGGAGGAGAACACATCAGAACAACTCCCTGGCCTTCCCTCACAGAGACTGCACTTCTTGTCCGGCCACTAAAATTTCCCAGATCTGTCAACATAACACAGCATTTAGATGCAAGGCAACAAAGGAATTTAAAGAATTACTACTATTTTAACTTGTGCTTATTTTTCTATTACTATCCTGACAAAGTTTCTTTTTATTTGTTAAGCAATGAGAGGAAGGCCTTAAAAATAGATCTATACCATCAATTTGAAATACCAAAATTTAAATACATCTATACCATCCATAGAAACAACAGATTATGTATTTCTAGTTAGAGTGCATATAAGTTAGTTGCCAGTGTAGGAAGAATCTGGACAATACAGCATTTTTAAAACATTAAATAGTTCTTTATTTCTTTATAAGATTTCCTACCAATGTTGATCTTTTTATTATAAATAAAGCCCATTCATTCAGAGTGAGAGAAAAAAAATAGTGGTTAGCTGTGCCTGGTGTCCATCTGCCTCCTCGTTATATGTCCTGCTAAGCGTGGTATGTAAAACCAAGCATGAATTTGCCAAACTGGAAAGACTTGCATGCTCTGACAAAATATAATGAGGATATAAAGTGTTCTTTTTCTATAAATTTGAATGAGAAAGTCATGTTACTTTTATGGAAGCCTAGAATGGACTCTATGAATTAATTATACTCATCCATTTTGATTAGTTTGAGAGTATTACAGTTATTGAAACACTCACTTTTATGTATGAGGAACTATAGCATTGAAACTCAATTGCCTTTGCTTAAATTATGTTGCATTTGCACAATTTGAAAAGACTTTCTGAGAAGAAAGCGGCCCAAAAGGGAATGATGTGAAATTTTATTTGTATTTCTATTATTGCTTATTAATCTATTCATATCTTGGTACATATGCTCTTTTCCCTTTTCTTGGGCTAAGTTGATCAATGACATGGTTTTTAGAATAGTTTCTTGCAAATGGTAGGAGTTCAATATTTTTATAAATAAATATTGTCCTCAGAATTCTGGGTTTGTAAAATCATGTTTCCATGGTGAGAGATGCTCCTTGAAAATGTTCTGCCATTCCTTGCACACATTGTAAAAGAGGCACACATTGTAAAAGAGATTTTTTAGAATCTTTTAATGATTTCATACTAACATAGTCTGTTTCACAGCACTACAAGATAGATCTTCAAGTTTATTAATCTCACAAATGATATTAAATAAGAAAACATACAAGATGAATATGAAGGAGATAAATCTCTAGTCTTTAATGTACAAAGAGGAATCCCATACATTATTTTTATTGAGGTGAGTAACAATTTCTATATTTGGTGAATTTATAACCAAACCTTCCTAAAATGATCCAAAATAATAGATAACTAATGAATTGTGAAGACATGATGCCAAATGAATAATACTCAGAGAGGTATTTATTACTGGAAAAAGTATTTAGGGTTTTATACATAATTCTATGTAAAGTGTTAAGCTTTTCACAAAGTAGAAAGACAAAAAACAAATGAACAGTTCCAGTTCTATCCTTCTTTTTTTTTTTTTTTTGTGGAGGGGTGTTGTTATTTAAAAAAAAAAAAACATACAGACTGACTTCTGTAAAAATCAAGTTTATTAATTTTTCAAATATATATACCCCCCAGGGTTGCTCCTCTGATCTCCATTGCCAAATATTATGTTTGCCTCTTTTAAACTTCATATATATATTACAACTTATACATTCGTGTGTGTGAAACAAACACATATATGCAAATCATGGCTTTAAACTCCTATGCATTGATCCTTAGGGATAGAGGCTATCTTTTCCCCAACAAATGATCTCCATATGCAAACAAAGTATGGCAAGGTTTCTACCCTGACTTCCTTTACTGTACTTCTAAAAATACAGCACAGCATATAGTGAGGCAGTGGTTGCAGTAGGGCTGTAATATCTCTTCAGGGATTCTATGGTTTTACTTTCCTCTTTTCATCTTCATTGAATTTATAAATTCTAGGAGGCCATTTGGATATCAATTTATTTTAACTGAATTTCTTAAGGTGTTTCTAAAAAGCATATGCCTGGTTCAATACATTTACTACAGGTTTATATTATGCTTATTATGACATTGCAAATCAATCTATTGTATTTAAAATATAATAGAAATGACCTAAATTAATGTCTGTTTCTGAGGAATTGAAGTACAGGCATGGCCTAGAATTTAGACACAAAAAAGGAAAGAAAACTATAGAAGCATTATGACCTGATTGTGTTTTGAGATCACAATTACCCAAAAGATAACACTTCACTGTAATTGCTTTATTTTGTATCAACTGTTAATACAATTACAGTTCAACATTTCCTCATAGAATTATCTCTGTGTCATTATTTTCTGGAAAGTATAGCACTAGCGGTACAAAGATAAATGGAATTTTTTCAATTGTGAATAGATTTTTTTTCTTCTTTCTTAAAGACATATAAAGAAATACTAAAAAGTAGTCTGCACTTTCATAGAAAGCGGACATTTCTCATTTAACTCCTTCCTCCTATAAAAAAAAAGTGAAGCATTATAATATATAATGCAAAAGTGTTTTTTGTACCAGGCAAGACTCCAGTTGATCTAAGCAGAATGATTTCTGTGAAAAAATTCTTGGTTGATGCAAGGATGGAGGCTAGAGTGAATAGTCTGTGTGAAAACAGCTGATTGTTCGTCTCTCATTGAGAACAAAAATCTGTTAGCTTCTTTGGGGTATTTGTCAAGAAAAAAAAATATTTCAGTGGATGTACATGCAGTTTGAATGCTTATCAAATTATTTTAATAGATTATACATTTTATATATCAAGAAGAGAAATGAAAACAAAAGACCAAAAACTTTTATGGATATGGGCTTTAATTATTTTATTGCAATTTATACAAGGTCCAAAATAAATGTCATAAGTTCAAGTTTTTATGTTTAAGGGAAAAAAAGAGTAAAAATAAAAATCCTAATACAAGAACTTTAAAATTCAAATTCAGACTGTAAACTGAAATAAACATCTTTCTATACTTACTATAAAGCACATGGACAAATAGATAAGCAATAGACTGGAGGAGGAAGTTTGTGATCAAGAGTCAGAAAGCCCCAGACTTTGTCTTTGCTCAGACTGTTTTTTTTTTCTGAGTTAAGCAGATCATGCAGAGAATTATAAGGGACCTTTACCTACACTGCAGCTTACAGTATTATCGTGACTTTTCATCCTAGAAGAACTATGTAAAGAAAAAAAGGTATGTAATAACTGATGTGACTGAAAGCCTTAGGTGAAAGAATGTACATTCAGGATGTGTGATTTGATCCATCTTGCCTATATAGACAAATCATCTTACAAATTTCTTTAACAAATATTATTTGATGCCTACTGCACACCGAACACTATGTTAGGTACTTATTATACAGAAAAACTGTAAAGGAAGTATATAGATATACAAATGAACTAATCATACTTACTTGGGCCAATAGTCTATAGCTCAGGAGAATCTGGGTCAACAATTAGGCATATGAGCCCAACCATCACAACTTCAACTTGTCACAGCCACAAATTGCACAAGTGACCAATACATAACCATGATCATTTAACATGTAGCACTTCACACAATCCCTCTAAATGTGAGCTATAAACACATGAACACAAGCATTTACATACACGCCCAGATACACACTTTAGGTTCTTTCCTTCCTTCCTTTCTTTCTTCCTTCTTTTTTCCTTCTATCCCTCCTGAATTCCTTCTGTTACTATGTTCTTCTCTGAATTATTCCACAGAGGATTTGACACAACTTAAAATACTTAGGTATATAATACAAAAAATAAAACAATAGTTTAGGAATTCCAGGTGAAGGTAAAATGAGTATGATAATAATCCTGTAAGGTAAGATAAGCCCTTATGAATATATATTATATACTTTCATAAATTACTGGAGTGAGCCACAAATTTGACTTTAAATTTAGGAAGGCCAAAAACAAGATGGAGATGCCTCCAGTCTTTATGATCATGGTTATTATAAGATCAAAAATTAGAGCAACTCAAGAGAAGCACATGTTAACCTCTAAGAGGAATTTCTCATGCCATGCTTCATAGTTGGTGGTATAGTGAGAACCAGAGTTGGTGGTATAGTGAGCTGAGCAAATTTCCAAACCAATTAGCAAGGTTTTCCTTGTTCTTTTTTCTTTAAAAAAAAAAAAAATCCTCCAGAGACACAATAAGTAGGTAGCTCACACACATCTGAAAAATGTTTCAAAAATCAAACCCTAAAAATAATTAAAGTGTTAGAAAGAGAGTACAGGAATCTTGTAGGAAGGACAGTGCATAAGGGATTCTGGACACTGATCTTATGATATTAGAATATTAAATACAATAGGTTGGTTTAGTTATTGGGGAGGAGTAAAGGAAAATGATTAAGACAGGAGGATACATGCCACACAATTAGGAATAAAATGCTGCTGTTCATCTTTCTGCTGGGCTAACTTATTCTTAAATGTGTTCTGAATAAGTGGCAATTTTAAGCTTACAGGAGTTGTGAGTTTGGAAGAAAGAGTGGGGAGTGCTCATTTTCAGTTGTATTTGGTTATACAATTTATCCTGTAGGTGGTGCTAGTGAATTTTAGACTGTCAAAAGCTCCAGGCATTCTCAATTATTTCTCTAATTTTAAAGGTGCTTGAGTACAGATATATTAAAAATTCTAAACATTTTTATAAAATTGGGACTTGACTTTTAACAAATAAAACCAGTGAAAAAGGCAAATCATATTAGAGTAGGTATCAGAGACTTGAGTTTTATTTAGTTTCATTAATTACTAACATTTGGGTGTCAGATTCATTATATGTAAGATGGAGGAATGGAGCTGCATGCTCTTTTTGAGAGGCCTTGAGGCTTTAATTTCTATGATGTCTATAAAAACAACTGACAAGTTTTCTAATATTGACTTGGTATTTGTTGCCTAACTTGCAAAGTGACTACATATTAAAGTCTTTCATCAGCTCTGTTTATGGTTCCTATTATTATCATTAGGATTATTCAGGTCATAGTCAGCTCTTTGGTCCCATGCAAATATTCTGTAATAAAAA